CCAGTTCAAGGGACACTGGGGTGGTCTTGGGGAGGTGCAGGTGCTTGGACAGGCCCGCGTCTGGCCCACCCCTGCACCCAGGCCTCCCCCAGCTCAGAGGATGCCCAGTGCTCAGCGTGCAGCAGCTGTGGGAATGGGCTGGGGTGGAGTCAGCTGCTGGGCGCACAGAAGGGCCTGGGGCAGGGACGGGGTGGGGGTGGGCAGCTGATGGTGTGAGTGGTGTCTGGGGCAGGTGCACAGCCCTGTACAGAAAATGAAAGAATGGGGATGGGGGACTTCTAGACTATACACAAGCACAGAGGCTTCCCCAGGTCACCCGGCACTGCCCCTCTGTTCAGGGCTTGAGGCCGTTTGGATCCAGGTTTCCAGCTCTTGTGTGGAGACGAGGAGGAATAGGGCAGATGCCTCTCAGGGGTCCCTCCTGACACGCTGTGGCTGCAGGTGTCAGTTGGGGGAGGAGGGCTTCCTCTGTTTCACTAAGCAAACAACTTGACTTTTACATCTGTAAGCACTCACTCGCCACCACCCAGACCCAGGGGCTGGGGCCCAGAGGCCTCCTTCAGACCCCTTGTGGGCATCACAGTCCTCAGAAGGACTCTTCTGACACAGTGTCACCTTGTCTGATTCCTTTGTCAACATTTTTGAGAATCCTCTGTGTTGCCATATCAGAGGCTCAAGAACTGAGTAATCCCCCCAGCATCACACGGTTATGAACTGGAGCAGGACTCAAACTCCAGACTCCCCCAACCCCTCCTAATCCTGCCGTCTCCTGGGAGGTCACAGCCAGAGCTGCGGCTTTGGCCAGGGCCCCAGACGATGGTGGGAGACTCTGGTTCTCATCTGGCACACCTGCCCGGCACACTGGGCAGCAGGGAGCCCTCTCCAGAGCTCCTGCCTCTATTCCTGGGGAGCTGACTGCTGTTTTTTCTGGCAGAGGCTGCCCAGGTTCCCAGGACGGCTACTAGCCAGATGGGGAAAAACAGCAGCCTGCCATCTGGTGCCCAAGGTACGTGAGGGGAGCATGATGCAGAAAGGTAAGACAGTCACGTGGAAAGTGTTGTGTCACATGAACATCAGAACAGAACAGTACGATCTGTTACAACAGAGCGTGTCCATGTGGCACATATTTAAATGGTGCAGTACCCCTGGGACGAACTTTTCCAACTTTACATGAGTAAACTGAGGCACAGGGTAGGTAACATGTTCAAGGTCAAATTACAAAGCAGGATTCAATCCCAGGTCCTGCCATTCTGCCTCTTGAGGGCATTTTGTATAATATTTATCCATCTGTTTCTGACCATCAGATAAGACAAGTGAGCTGTTATGTGACCAAAAGTAAGAATATCAGGGGTGCCTGGGTGGCTTAGGCATCCAATTTTTTATCTCAGCTCAGGTCTTGATCTCAGGGTCTTGAGTTTAAGCCCCAGCATTGGGCTCCATGCTGGGCGTGGAGCCTACTTAAAAAAAAAAAAAAAAGTATCCATAGATATAGAAGTTATAAAAAGGAACCAAAAGAAAATTCTAGCACTGCAAAGTGCAATAACTGAAATGAAAAATCCCCTAGGGAAGTACAAAAACATCTAAGGAGGGACACCTGGGTGGCTCAGTCGGATAAATGTCCAACATCAGCTCAGGTCATGATCTCACAGTTTGTGGGTTCGAGCCCCATGTAGAGCTCGGTGCTGACAGCCAGCTCAGAACCTGGAGCCTGTTTCAGATTCTGTGTGTGTGTCTCTCAGAAATAACTAAAAGAAAAAAAAAAATTTTTTTAAAGCACATCTAAGGAAGAAGAAAGAATCAATGAACTTAAACATAGGACAACTGAAATTGAGAAAAAAATAAACGTGCATAGAGCCAGAGTTCTGTGGGACCCCATTAAATAGAAAAACCTACATTGTGGGAATCCCAAAAGAACAGAGAGTAAGAACGCCAAAAGAATAGTTGAAGAAACAATGAGCAAAAAACTTATCAATTTGATGAAAGATATGAATCTACAACTAAAAGAAACTGGATAAACTCCGGACAGAATACATTCAAGGACACACCAAAGAATCTTCAAAGCAGCAAGAGAGGTAACTTCTCTCGTACAAGGGATCATAAGATGAGCCAATTTCTCATCAGACTTTGAAGGTCAAGAAAGCAGAGGGTCGATTTATTCAAAATGATGAAGTGCCAGAATTCTATCCCGCAAAATTGCTCTTCAAAAGTGAGGGAGTTTATTACCAACAGAACTGCTTTACAAACAAGGCTAAAGGAAGTCCTTCCATTTGAGATGAAAGGATGCTCGCTAGACAGTAACTCAAAACTGTAAGCAGAAATCACACTCTCCAGTAAAAATAAATACATGGGCTAGTATTATTAAAATTATTATTAAAAGCTAGTATTATTATAATTTTGGTTTATAAGCCTACTTATTTTCTACAGAATTTAAAAGGCACATGTGTTATGAAACCTAACTGTATAAAGATGTAATTTGTGACATCAGTAACAGAAGAGGGAGATGGAGCTGTTCAGGATCAGAGAGTTTTGTATGCTATTTAAATTGTCATAAATTAGGTTGTTGTAACATTAGGATGTTAAGTGTAATCCCTGTGGTAACCACAAAGAAAACATCTATAGATTATACACAAAAGGAAATAAGAGAATCAAAAGGTTACTATAAAAAAATCAAATACAAAAGGCAGCAGTGGAGGAAGTGAGGGACAAAAAAAGCTGTAAGGCACATAAAAAAATAATAAAATGGAAGAAACAAGTCTTTTCTTATGAGTAAGTAAATGTAAATGTATTAAAATCTCTAATCAAAAAGCAGAGATTGAAGATGGCTAAGTAGGAAACTCCAGGACTGTGCTGCCCCCATGGAAACAATGAAAATAAATACATAAAAGGACCTACAGACTAAAATAACTTTACGGGACTCTGAAAATCAGTCAAAACTCTACAGCAACCAGGTGAAGTAAGCTCAAAGCCAGCAGTAGGAAGGAAACAATATTACAGCAGAGATAAAAAAATCAAGAACAGAAAAATAGAGAAAGCCAATAAAGCCAAGAGTTGGTTCTTCAAAAAAAAATCGACACAATGGCAACCTTTAGCTAGATGCCTGTGGGGGGGCAAGGAGACAAGGACTCAACGACACAAGAGGGCAGCTTACTGCAAATTTACAGAAATAAGGGTCATAACAGAGTTCCGTGAGTAACTGTATGCCAACAAAATGGATAACCTAGATGACATGGACAAATTTCTAGAAACACACAACCTACTGGGACTGAATCATGAAGACATCTGAAGTCTGGATAGACCTTTAACTGTAAAGAGCTTGAATCAGTAATCAAATACCTCTTGAAAGAATAGGCCAGGACCCAATGGCCTCATCAGTGAATTCTACTGAACGTTTAAGGAATCCTCCTCAGAATCTTCCAAAAAGAGGAGGGAATGTCTTCTAATTCATTCTAGAAGGCCAGCATCACCATGATCTCAAAGCTAGATGTGAAGACACTACAAGCACACTATCAGTCAGTATCCCTCCTGAATATGGAATCCCCAACAAACCATGAGAAGTTGAATCCGACAACAGAATAAGAGGCTTATACACATCATGACAAAGGAGGATTCCTGGGATGCAAGGATCACTCCGTATACAGAAATCAATCGATTTAACATGCCATATTAACAGAACAAAAGGGAAAATACTCTCGATTGATACAGCAAAATCATTTGACAAAATTCAATACCTTTTTATGATAAAAACACTCAACAAACCACCAATACTAGGAACATACCTCAACACAATGAAAACCATACAAAAAATCCCACAGCTAACGTAATACTCAAAGGTGAAAGACTGACAGCTGTTCCTCTAAGGTCAAGAACAAGACCAGATGTCCACTCATACCGCTTGTATTCAAGATGCTACTAGAAGTCCTAGCCAGAGCAGTTACGCAAGGAAAAGAAAAGGTGTCCAAATTAGTAAGAAATAAACTGTGTGCAAACAATACAGTCTTATATGTAGACAACATTAAGATTACACGCACATCATTCGAATAAATGAAACCGGCAAAGTTGAAGCCTATATACAGGCAACACACCAAAATCAGCTGTTTCTAGACACTAAACGAACAATCTGGAAAGAAAATTAATAATTCCATTTAAAATAGTATTAAGTAAGAATACAATACTTAGAAATAAACTTAACCAAGGAGGCTAAAGACTCACACACTGAAAACTGCAGAGCACTGCTGAAAGAAATCCAAGACCACACAGATCCTAGTCTGTGCGGTCTTCTCTGGGCACCACGGCCGGGTCAACACAGAAAATTAACTATCATAGCAGGTGTCCATCCAGTAAATGGAAAAACAAAATGTGGTACAGTCCTAGAAGGGCACGCCATTCAACCATGAAAAGGAGTGAAATTTTGATAGATGCTGCAACATGGGTGGACCTTGAAGATGTAACGCTAAGTGATAGAAGAAAGACACTTATCTTATTAGAAAGACTAATATTTTATGATTCCACTTATGTGAAGTATCTAGAATAGGCAGGTTCATAGAGACCAAGTAGAATAGATATTATAAGGGGTCAGAGGTCCAGAGTTTTGGTTTGGGAGCATGAAAAGATCTGGGTAGACGGCAGTGATACTGAACAAGGTTGTGAATGTTTTAATGCCACAGAGGGAGACCTTTACCAATGGGTACATTGACAGATATCACACATATCTCACCACAATAAAAATATCTAAAAAAGAAAAAAACACAGCAAACCAACAAACCCAACCAGCGTGTGAGGAACCGGTCAGCAGATTCAAAAATTTCTCGATCCCACAAGTTTTTGCTTGATACAGCACTTTCAACTGCCTGCCGTGTTTTTTCAGTTCCTTCTATGATTCTAAAGTTTGTCCTTTTTCCCTAGAAGGTCCTTCCTTGTATTTCAAACCATTGACTTTTTTTGTGGGATTGGAGAGGAAAAAAAAAGGATCTCATCCCCACACCAAAGTATCAGACGCCAAAAAATGTAAAGTTGTGAGTTTATTGCATATGTAACAAAATGAACCTGACCTCCTGGGTCCAGCCTGCGGTACAATCGCTGTTTATTTTGTGTTTCCAGCTGGTTCCATAACCACATTAAATAGAACTAGTATTTCTTTAAATACTTCTGATTTTGACATAAAACAGAACATTAGTGTACAATTTTCACAAAATAAATCAGCAATAAAAACAGTGGGAAGAATAACAAGGATAGCAGCAATACTTAAAAACAAGACATTACAAAATAAATTAAAAAATACATTATAAAGTGGTTGAGAAACAAAAATAAACCAATTTTAAAAATTCATACTATCTTTCGGGAAGGCTGCCATGTGGCACGTGCCTGGCTGTGGACGGGGCTGGGGGGACGGGGCATTTTCTCTGCGGAAGGCCATTCCGACAGCTCGGGTTGGAGGACCCCCCCTCACCTGGATTGGGACCACGTGGCCAAGCAAGCTCGGGGAGCACAGGCCTCCCGGCAGGCAGACTCTCCCCTGGGGAGAGAGCTAACCTGACTGCACACCCCGCCCCCCGCGCCCCCGCCAAGCAGCCCATTTGTTTTTCCTTCCTACAGCAAGGGCAGAGCGGCGGTTTGCTACATCCCTGAGCATCGGCTGATGACCACTGGTGAGGGCAAGCCTGCAAGATGGGCCCCTGAAGCATCTGGGCCAACAGGTGAGAGGGGGCGGTGGAAGGCGTGGGGAACTACCGAGTGCCACAAACGAGAGCTCGTGGGAACAGGGTCCACACGGACCCAGAGTGGAGTGATCCAGAGATTTTGCCCACTGTCTGCCACACTACTCTTCATGTGGTTCAAAAGGCCCAATCCATGGTTGGTAGTTAAGGTTCTAGAAGTGCAGTGCCACTGATGGGCCCGTCTGGCAAGAGTGACCAGGGCTCTGGAAAGTTCTGCTCTTTTGGGCTCCACTGTAACACACAGCTGATGAGGGTGGCTGGTGAGGGAGAAAAGCAGAGAGCCACGCCTTCCAGGCGGGGAACGCGTACTGGGCCAGCACCTGCCACGTGGGCAGCGTGGGTTCTAAGGACTGTTCTCGTTCCTCCCAACAGCAGGAGCATCATCTTACAAGAGCCAAAGGCCACAGTCCTGCTAGACCCTCGTCTCCTTGCTCATTCCTGCAGGTCTGGGCCAAACCACGGGAACAATCCGTGCTGCTCCCCCCTCAGCCTGGATGTGCCTTGGCTCTTCTGTGAAGGTCTCCTCCTCACACCAGAGGGTTGAGGTACACCTTCGAGCGGAGGCCTGTGTGGGGGTAGGGCCCTAGCTGACATTTCCTCACTCTTCCAGAGGAAGGTTACGAGGGAGGACCAGAATCACGGAGAGCCAGCTTCTAGAAATGCCCGCAGAAGGATCATGGTAAACGAGACACAGGGTGAGCCTGACTTGGGCAAGGCAGAACTTCTGACAGTCCAAGCCCATGATATGGCCCAGACTTCCTGAACGGATTTCATTTCCCCTCTGCAGCCAGGCCCACTTGACACCCTCTCTACCCTGGTACCTCCAGGGGTGGCCCAGACGTGCGCTCACTCTCGTAGCTCCTGGAACCCACAGCTGGCAGCCCACGGCCCACCGGACCAGTCAGACTTCTTGTTCCGAGGGAGTGTCTATCTCCCAAGGGTCCCCGAGCTCCCCCGCAGCAGCCACAGAACGCTTCGGGGCAAGCCCAAGAACCACGGCAAGACGCACAGGGGCGAGCTCGCCTCCAAACCCACCTCGCTCCAAAGGGATCAGTAACAAAAGGGATAAGTCATCCGAAAGCTCCTTCCAAACCCATCTCAGACACACGGCTGGATCCCAACGCTGAACTCCAAAACCAACGGCAGACGTTCAACAGTGAAATGTCTTCCTGATGAATCACCCCGCACTTACCACCCCCCAAAAACAACAAAAAACCAAACCAGATGATTTGCTGCTGCTGCTGCTGCCGCCCTTCATGGAAGTTTATCGCAAACCAAACCACCTTGTTCAAATACTGCTTGAACTTTTGTGCAAATTGGAAAATGGTGTTAGAAACTCAGGGTCCAGTCTTTGGCCTTGCTCCTCACGTGAGCACGTCTGGGCAAGGCAACGGGGCAGTGATTGTTAGCGCCCCCACCCAGCACCCGGGGAGTGAGCAGAATGAGCCAGGGGGGAAGGGCCCCCTCCACCGTCAGGTTTGCATTCACGCCCTACTTTTCTTAAAACAGTCCCTCAGGGTGGATCTAAGTCAGTGAGGTTGCCCGTTCCCCCTCTCCCTTTGAGGCTACTTTGCATCAAGCCAGCAGCTACAACAACAGAATTCTGTTAGCTCTTAGCAACTTTCCGCACAACACTTGGTTAGTATTCAAGGGACCCAGCAGACCCTTTTCTACATCCAGGTTGGGGGGGGGGGGGGGGCTGCAGCCCAGGACTGGCGACATGGATCTGAGGCTGGTTTGGTGTGTTCTTTTATAAGCTGTTATGTGGTTTTTCACTGGAAAAATATCTCAAACTAGATAGATAATGTGGCAAAAGGGACTTTTAAAAGGAAAGATCATTTTTCTCTATGCAAAAAAATTTTTTCAGCCAGGATCCCCTGAAAAATACCCCAGGCCTCCAGCAAAAGCTGCCCCAGTTCCTTTACTTTTCCAAAAGGGAAGCATACTTTGGATGCAGGCTTTCAGCTGGGGTAGAATTCCAACGGACAATACGGTTATTTTTCAGTTAGAGATTCATCTGCTTCCCAGAGCAGGCTGCAAGGATGTGACTGGAATTTGAGCTGCTGAACTTGAAAAGGGGCCTCAGGACTGTTTGGAGACAGAAGAGCTACCAGTTACAAACCCTCAGTAAGCGAAGCTCAGTTCCAGAACTTGTGAGTTGATCCTCCTATAAAGGCCACAGGGCAGTGAGCCTATCACCGACCACGGGGGTTATAGTTGCTGCAGGGTATCCCGTGTGACCGAAGCCAAATGCTAAACCTGGCCGCATTTTATTGGATGGGCGATGGAAGGGGGTGGGGTCACTGTCAGAAAGGAGGAAAATATGGGTGGGAGCCGCCAGCCAAAGTCCCCCCAGCCCCCTTGCTCCCCCAATGAAAAGGAGGGGCGAAAACCTTTTCCCTCGGGTCATCTAGGCTTCCCGGGCCTCAGCCAGCTTCGCAGGAGGCGCACGGAAAGCTTGCTTTGGGTCTGGCGGTCATGAGCTAGAATCTGTTGCCTTTGGTTGCCCTCTTCACTCCACGGCAAAGCCACAGGTCTCCTCCACGGCTGTCAGCAGCTTCTCATAGAGCTTCTCGTAAGACTCATAAGGTGGGATGTCAATCCGATTAAAGCTGGAAGAGAGGACAAGAGTGACAGTCACTGCTGGGGGGCGGGGGTGGGGTCTGGACCTAGGCCCTGTGTCAAGGACAAGGGCAGGCAGGAACAGAGGAATTCGCGGCCAAGAGTTGGCAGCTCGTGCATATATAGGCGGATGGGGCCGAGAGGAGAGGAAAGCATCTCATCGCCTCGTTGGGGTGAGGGGTAGAGGCAGTTTTCCACTCCCCTCTGGTGCTTTTCTGCTTCTAAAGCAAAGTTTTTTTCATAGAACGCAGAGCAAAATAAATCCTAAGATCTTGAAAACCAAAATTAAACCAATGACTATTTCCTGGTTATATCAGGACAAAGCTCTCCATTCGTTGTGGTGGCTGTCTTTAGAAGAAATTATTTCTCACTACCACAAATACCACCTTTGCACATGGACCACAGTAATCCAGACCGGCCGACTGTCAGATCACCCCTAACAATCCACTGCACATCCATCTAATCCTTCGTGACTTGACCTGAGACCATATAGGACAGTCTGCAGAAATGGGATATTTCCTATAGAAACAAACTATAGCTCAAAACCATTAAGATGTCAAATCCCTGATAGGAGGAGATGAATCAACATTTCCCTGGGGAAATTCATTTCTAGTGTTGTATTTAAAAAAAAAAAAAAGACACCCTGGAAGAAGGGTATTCTCTTCTAAGAAGTCAAAAAAATACAAAATTCTGACCGATAAAGTGACCTACTGAATTACTAGCTGTGAAGCAGTTAAGGATGGGTTTTGTCAAGAAAGAATTGGGCTAAATGGTGTGATAGTTTTGGGGAGGATCTTTAGCATCCGAGGACAGTTCTCACATCCGTTTTACTCAAAGCATCCAACTCTGAAAGGGCAGAGTCAGGGAAGGAAAGTGGCTGCTGTGGGTCGACGCGGCGCTGTGTCTATAACAGCCACTCTGAGCCTGGCGCCACGGCCTCACTAGGGCCTCGGGCTGTGTAAGCACTTGAACCCACACCCCTGGGTTCCTAATCAGGAAGCTTCTGTTGCAGGGTGACGCATCTCAATGGCAAGGAACTGGTTTTTGTGAACTACACATAGTTCAATACGTGGTTTCTGAGACAAAGCATATTTAAGTGACTTGACTTTTAAACAAGGAAAAATAATCTGCTATAGATATTATTGAAGTTAAAATTTAGGAAGGTTAAAAATTTTTCAAAATTCATCCATCACAAAGTTCCAAGAAGGAAAATGAGGAAGCGAAGACCGGGAACTCCGGATTGAAAATGACAACTCTCCCCATGGCGAGGCACGTGTGTGCACACGCACATGTGTGCACTGGCACGGCCTCGCGAAGGCAAGGCTGGAGCTGCCAGCGCCGTTAGTCACATCTCATGACAAAACTGGTTTCACGAAAGAGACTTCTGATAACCCTCATGTGACACACTGCCAAGTGCTCGTCCCATCTGACTGGTGTCATGGCCAGTTGTCCTGGGGCACAGGGAAAAGGAAGCACAGGGAGTCATGCGAGGGATGGCAGGCCCCAGAGACAGGCTCCCGGTGATGCCACAGCATGGTCCTTACCAGGTATGGGCCTTCGGCAGGTTGTCCGTGTTGGCGTCGATCAGGTGGATGGTGAAGAGCCGGGGCCCTGCCGCGCCTGTAGAACCTTACGAGACAACATTCTAGTTAATGCACTTCAGAGGCGGGGCCCGGGCCCCACTGCCAACCACGCCCTCAGCCCAATGCCTGGTCGGTCGTCCTGCCGTATGGTCATGGGCTTCACACAGCGGCATAGCCTCTACCTGGGTTAGGACACACTGACCATCCAGCGACCTATCCCAGCTATTCTAGAAAACAGCAGGGGCAGAGAACCGTGAGAGCTCTCCTCCTGGACCCCAGCCAAGAGCCCACTCAAGTGGGGGTATTTGAAGGGCAAAATCCTTAAACCACCAGTGATGGTTTTTCTTTTTTTTTTTAACAGAATTTTCAGGCAGCGGGCTCACCACTGGCAGAGGACAGCAGGGTTATAACAAAAGCAAGATACAGAGTCATGAATCCCCCAGGTGCAGGTGAGGTGGGAAAAGAAAAAGAAACAAACACCTAGGACAACAGCCCAGGGGATGGAAGTAGCTTCCCTCTCTCAGAGAGGTCCTTAAAATCTGGAAAAGTCTACACAGAATGTTCTCTACGTGAAATATACCTGTGATCACTAGTAATATGCAAAGCTCCATCTACTGCATTTTAATATACTAACATTCTTCACCTTTTTCCTTCCGACTCTCAGGATTATCAAATATCTGGATATCAGATTTTCTATCAGTGTCAGAAAGGACGAGAGAGGGGATGGGTACCTACAGTAGACAGTGGAGCCTCTCGGGCAGTGCATTTGCTTAGAGGAGGAAACCGAGGCCCAGGGAGGACCCCTGGAGCTAATGACCGATACGGCAGCAGGAGACTCCATTGCCTGGTGCTCAGGCCAAGCCGCTCTCTCCTGCACCTCAGGGCTGCAGTGAGCCGGCTACTACCCGAAGACACGGAATGAACGTATGGTGCACTTTAAAACTTCTCATTTCTTTCCCCAAAGCCTTGTTGCTATTTGTACCCTCCCTCTGCCCACCAATTCCATAGGGGCAGGGGAGGCACCAGGTCCACGGGGTCCTTCCTCGCCAAGGTCTTTCCCAACCCAGCCCCAAGCAGGCCCCAGGCTGGCCAGCACGTGCCTCCCAGGTGACATTCCGCCTGCTGGGCATGTCCCTACAGGGACACTGGGAAAGGTGGGTTTGACAGGAAGCTAGCCTTTGTTTTGCTGAGATTCTCTCCCTTTGTGTTTACAGATATGTTCTTTCAGCTTGGGCAGAGGCTAGCACCCCTGGGGCACTGGGGGCCTGGAGCACGGCGGGGGGGGGGGGGGGGCAGCAGAGAGAACAGCAACAAGAGGCCCTCCGGGAGCGAGTGCGGCCACCTCTGCCAGGCGAGCGCCTCCACGGTGCCGAGTGTTCATTATAAAAAACACAGGCCGCCCCACTTCCTAGTAGATGTTTCAGGAAAACACCACCACTGCGGTCCAGCTCTTCCTGCAGTGGCCCGGTGGGGGACATGCCTGGCGGGGGACGTGCCTGGCGGAGACGTGTGGGGCCAGGAGCCCCGCCTCCACATCAGTCACCTTGCAAAGCCTTGAAGCCTTGGAGAGGGACCCGAGTGGAGCCGGTCACGAACTGCAGCAGCCTGGCCCTCCTCTCCTCATCGAAGGTCTCCACGGCCTGCCAGAACCACCTGACAACGTTGCTGTCGGCCACACAGTGCTTCAGCCGAGTGTTGGACTTCCAGTCGCTCACGTCTATCTTATCCAGACCGCCTATGATCAGCTGCGAAGGCATTTGGAGGCAAGTTATTTCTCAAATGCACACACCGGCCTCCCAGGTTCCCGGTCTACGCAAGGAGGGAATTCGTGGCGTCCCAAGAAACCAGCCACAGACTTAGATGCGCGGAGAGGGAAACAGGCCCACGCTCCCAACAGTGCGTTTTCTTACAACCAGGTCTGCGTTTCGTGGTTTTGCGCCTCATTGGCGAGGAGGCAGCACGAAAGGCCCAACCAGCGAGGCTGAACGGGCTGCCTGTCACAGCAGAGCTGGACGCGGAGTGGTGTGCAAGTGTCTGTACAGGGTGGGAGGCCCGCTCCGAGCTGCTCCCCACCCACCCTCCCCGGGAGGCGCCTCGCTGAGGCAAAACGACAAGGATTTCAAAGCCCTGAGACAAGGATTTCAAAGCCCTGAGCCGTTGGGCACCGGGGTGGGTAAGAGATGAATGGGTCTCTCTGTTCACGCGCACGAAGTGTGAGGAGAGAAGACAATCACTCTTTGTTCTGAGTCTAATAATAGCCAGAACAGAGACACAGGCTGACGTGGTGGGAATCTGCTTATACACAAGAGAATTCCCTCAGTCCAAGGTGAATACACGGGAAGGCTTTGGAAACCTCTACAGCTGGAGCTCCTGAAAATGAGGATAAGCCACAGGAGACCCTGAACAATGGCCAGAGAATGATCTGGACTTGTTGCCACCAAGCAGACATCTGGCCTTGTCATAAACAGGCTGAGACGCCCTCGACTCCCCACTCGTGCTAGGCCTAGTCTGGAGCCCTGACAAGCCCCCGGCCTTGCTGGGGATAGGCAAGCCTCATTCTGCAGCCAGGCTGTCACTCAGGAGAACATCGGCCTCATTTGTACCCTTTAATGCCAACTTAGCTTGGCCCGGTGAGCACATACCTCTAGTTCCTTCTGGTCAAACGGTTTCAGTAAGTGTTGGGGAATGAGTTCATTAAACCCTTTCTGAAGAGCTAAGAACTGGGCTTCAATCCCCCTCATGAACCTCCAATTTACATACAACCTAAAAAACAAATTCACAAGTTGGAGGCAATACCAAGTGTTTCACACACAAAACAATGTTTTCTCTACATCTGCTGAACCTGACGCCCTGGGGCAGGGGTGGGGGGGGCCCAGACAGGAGGAAACCGCCACCAGCTGGCAGTGCCTAGCCTCAGTATCAGGTTAAAAATAAGTCAGCACAGGCCCTTACACATTCTAATGCTTTGCTAAAAATAGCGGTAGGAATTAACCTGACCTGTTAGAGCAAGTGCCATAATTTAAAAGTAGATTTGAAAATAACACAGAGGACACCGTGAGAACCACGACCCATCTGGCAGTGTAAACACATGACACACTTCCAGTTCTCTAGGGCGAGCGTCTGGTCATTGATCTGCCTTAAGAGGTAAGCCCCTGAGTGGCTCGGTTGGTTAAGCATCTGACTCGCGATGTGGGCTCAGGTCATGATCTCACAGTTTGTAGGAATGGAGGCCCACATCAGACTCTGTGCTCACAGCACAGAGACTGCTTGGGATTCTCCCTCTGCCCCACCCCTGTTCTCTCTCTCTCTCTCTCAAACATTAAAGGAAAAAAAGAAAGGAGGTGAGAAAACAGACTACTATGTTGTAGACTTCCTTGAGACTGATCTCAAGGACACTTCTAGACTCCTATTCTCTCCTGTGCTCACCACCTTCACACTGAGAATCGGGAGGTCACTTGCAACCCCTTCCCTAGCTTGGGGTCCGGGGTCATTATTCTCCCTTCAGCAGGCCGGCTGTGGTGGCACTGGGGGCTCCACCATGCATAGCCCCCACCGGTGAACCTGACCATTGCTGAAAGTCTGTTTTGTTCTTGGGATTCTGGCCCCCCGTGTCGGCAGGGAAGATAAGCCGCAAACAGCCAAGGAGCCTTGACAACCTAAATGTGAACCCAGCCTCGCCCGGGATGGTCCCAGGCACCTACATGTCCTCACTAGCGACCACCAAGGTTCCCCGGAACATTACCGGACATATTCTTTCTTGTTGTCCTCTGTGACAGGAACATTGCGGCCATTGGGTTTCAGTTCATGCTGAAGAATCCTCCCGAAAGCATTGTGTTCCACACAGAAAGTATGGTCCAACACAGGGGTGATATCATTCTCTCTGTTGAAGTTAAGACACAAGATGGATGTCAGACCTCTGCCAGCACACAGCAGTGAACAGAACCTTAGACGGAACATTCCAGGAGAAAGACAGCATTTCCTGTCTGTCACCCCAGAGCTGCAGGAGGGAAAAGAGGAAAGCCTCAGGCCCAGAGCCTGTGTGAGGGCAGGGACACAGGTACCGGAGGGGCTGGGAGACCCACATGTGCCAGACTCTGGGCTTCCTCATTCACTCTGTCATTCTGGGATTTTATGAGATATGGTGACTGCTTTGTAAACTGACTCTCTGGACAGAAGGATTCACAAAGAGGAAATGGAGTCAAAGGAAAAGCAACTTGCGGAAAGAACCCCCCCCACACATAGAAAATACTCCCCACCCCACCCCTTTAAGGCAGCCATTCCAAATGCATCCATTCAAACAAAGTAGCACTTAGAAGTTCAAGTGGACTCCTCCGCCTGCCATATTTGCTGAGACACAAGCAGAATAAACGATTTCGTGCAGGATGGAGGCACTAACCCTCCCCAACTCCCATTTCCAGCTGGAGTGCCAGAAGTGAGGCTGATCAGTGTGCGGCATGCAGCTGGGTTCAGCTCCCCCGCTCGCTCTCCCCCTGCAGAGCCTGGATCTCTCCCTCCTGTGAAATCGGCTCTTTCACACGGGCCTGCAACCCTGCGGTTACCACGTGACTTGCTGACAGCTTCCAAGAGAGTTCTAGGATAATTCTAAAACAAAGTTGACTAAATATAATTTTTCTTGATACTTTCTCTTACTGTCAAATACTTTGATACAAGATATTCTGACACTAATTTTGTTTTGGGTGCTTTCCCTCTAGAGATTAACTGGAGACACCCTGGAGAGTACAAAACAAAACCTACCATCCACCTATCAGGCTTGGGGATTAATTTTGTGATCAGACCTTAATAGTTTGAGGAAACAACAGAAGAAATTAGTCTATGAAGTGAAATGGGCCAAACGTCATGAGGGAAGGAAGTCAACGATTTTTTGTTAAGTCCACTTTTACTTCACACCCATCCCTCAAAAATTTTCATACATGCACACGCACACACAAAACGATTGTATTTGGCGGACGGTAAGACAGGTGGCTGTGCAGGAATTTTCCATACTGAATGGTGAGCCGGTACTTACAGAATCCACACTAAGCTCTTATGGAGTTCTGGGTCCACCGACTCCAAATCAGAGAGCTGGATGGGTTTCCCCAGTAGCTGCTTATAGAAGGGAACCGTGAAGCCCCCGTTTATGTAGTGTCCATGGAACACGGCGAGACCCATGATCCGACCCACAAAATGGAAATAAGACAGATGGTCCTGTAGGGGGCACCAGAGAACATGAATTTATTAGAAAAATGATGCGGTGGGGGGGGGGTTGATACGGTGTGCCTTCTCCAAGCTTCTTGAGAGACCTGTCCTATGGGCAACCACAGACTCAGTTCCTCACAGGTTGTGCTCATGATCAAAGGCAAGAAGGCTGGTTAGGTAGTCAGAATTCAGAGCACATCTTTTGTATAGATCATCTGAACACTTTATAGGCCCTTCGTTCAAACATCCTCAGAACTGCTACGTCATTTGTGGCATTCAGCATAAAAGGAATATGCAGAACCCCTTGCTCAAAAATTATTAAGAATTTCAACACAGCAGCCACAGAGAATCAAACCAACATGGGCCCTTCTAAGTGCAGGGCGCCCAGGAACCCGGACCCCCCTTCTCCCCCACTGCACTACAGAGTAGGGGGCAATTCTCCCTGAGTCCCAGGAGAAAGCAGAAGAGAAGAAAATCCAAAGAAGGAAATTAAAAAAAAGAGGAACATAGAGGAAAATAATGGACAACCCAAGTAAGGGAATCATTCTAAAACCACAGGTGTTCTGGCTCTTAACTGGGGAACCTCCCATCTCTGCTTTTCCATTATAATCAGAATTAATCAAAACCTCATTTCCATTTCCCGCTCTACCTTTCGGTGTCTATTTACCAGAGACTGCATAAGCCCATAATGGGTGAACCAAGTACTGACACTGGACATGGAAATCCAGTTTAAAAACATTGTAGTTTGCCCTCTTTATTTATGGATACTTACAGGGTTGATAGAAGAATCCGGGTTGATTTGCAACATGTAAATGTTGTCCGTAGAATACTGGAAGAGTCCATAATACGGATTCAACATTTCGTGGCACAATAAATAGAGCCACTCCCTAGGGACAACAACGACAACCATTTTAATTGTGCGAAAATGTCCAGTTTAGGTCTTACCAAAAGGACTGATTCCCTGGGTCCGAGAAGGCCACACGGCAGGATACCCAGCTCTGAGAGAAGGTGTAGTTTGGGCAAAGTAGCCTAAGGAAGTAACAACTTGTGTCCGGTCGTCTGAGAAATGCCTTTTCTGGGCCAAACTCCCATGGCGGCTCTGAAGCGGAGGAAAATGCGGTGGGCTACAGCCCGGACCACCTGCTATGGGCAGTGTTCTCAGCAGTTGACTCATCAGCCTGCCTGCACCTTAACCAAGGTTTTCTCTGGGACTGTGCAAAGATCCAGATCTCAGGTGGTGATGATGATGATGTGGTTATAGTGGACAAGAGTAGTAATGAAGAGCAGTTCTATCCTTTTACTTACAAAGACTGTGTGTGCGTGCATGCATGTATGTACACCAAACAGGAAAGATCTGTATGCAGAGCAGAGAGGAAGAGGAAGAGGATTTACATTGACACTTTGACAGCAGTTAAGCCTGAAAATCAGCATTCTGGGAGACCTTCAGTTTTCTTTGGCCTCTTGCTAGAGAGTTTTTACATTTCCAATCGGAACACGTTATTCACACTTAAGTGAGGAGAAAACATTTCGCAGACTAGGGAGACAGGGATTGAGAACGACTTTTGCCCTTCATGACTTTCTATCATGTTGATTCTTACCTTTTGCCAGAAACATTTATCATTTTTAGAAGTTTACAAAACAAGCTGAATCCATAACAAGATATATTCCATGAGTTCTGAAATCTGAGTGGGATACATAAGAATAAACTATTTTTGGAATTCCTTTATATTCCAATCATTTCATTATATATTTAAAAAAAAAAAAAAAAAAGCCCCAAATCAGAAACAATCCAACAAGGGCACCTGAGTGGTTCAGTCGGTTAAGTATCCGACTTCAACTCAGGTCAAAATCTCGTAGTTCTAGAAGTTCAAGCTCCACGTTGGGCTTTCTGCTGTCAGCGTGGAGCCCGCTTTGGATCCTCCGTCCCCCTCTGGGTGCCCCTGCCCCACTTGCGCGCATTCTCTTTCTCTCAAAAATAAATAAACATTAAAAATTTTTTAAAAAAGAAAAGAAACAATCAAACAAAACAAGCACTCTCAACAGAATCTTTGTGATTCAGCGCCAGGATCAGGGGCGGGGGGGGGGGGGGGGGGGGGGGGGGGGGGGGGGGGGGGGGGGGGGGGGGGGGGGGGGGGGGGGGGGGGGGGGGGGGGGGGGGGGGGGNGGGGGGGGGGGGGGGGGGGGGGGGGGGGGGGGGGGGGGGGGGGGGGGGGGGGGGGGGGGGGGGGGGGGGGGGGGGGGGGGGGGGGGGGGGGGCCAGGACCAGGGAGAACCTTAGGCAAACACCCGTAGCACTTCCACAGCCAGCCTTTTATTTTTTCTACTCAAACCTCCTTTCAAATGGATACATTTCGTTAAGACATCAGCCCTGGATCTTATTCTGGAATTTCTTACTCTGTCAAATAGAAAAGACATGGAACTGAGAGCAATCATAAAAAGGATGAGCACACATGCAAATAATGCAAGGCAATGGTGAGACTACACAGAAAAGGATCAGACCTCAACAAGCTTATGTGCCGAACTCCAGACAACAGGAAGGAACTGGCAAAAGCCAGGAGACTCCAAATGTTATACAGTTCTTTACTAGAAAGGCAGAATTTCCCAGCTGTAAGACCTGGGCTCATCCGTAAGTTTTAGAGTTTGGGTTTGAGAAGAATCATTTTCAAAAGCCGAGGACTTGCAACTGTCTAGACAGGAAGTGATTAAAACACAAGCAAATATTCCGACCGAGTCATGCACGAGGGAGGGAGGCATACTAGGGACATTAAGGAAGTGGTGAGGGGAGAGCCAACTGTACAGGCAGAAGGGTTTTTTAACGATAAAGGAAATGGTTCAGAATCAAACACCAGGAAGTGAGTGTAGACTAATTCTCATCGGCCAGATAATGAACACGCACACACACACACACGAGATTTAAATCTCTCTACAGCTCTCCGAGATAGGTCTGATCCCCTGTAGACGTGAGGAAGGATCCGAGGGTGAACAACGCAAGATCACCCTGGTGGTAGGAAAGCCAGAACTCCCAGCTCTTTCCACTAGACCACCATGTCATCCAAAAAAGACCTCTCAGTGTGGAAGACTGGATAAAAAAACGGGACATGCAGAAGGAACAGGACTCCTACCAAACCAAACCAAGCTATTCACCTGCGTGCCGGGGAAAACATAATACCAGCCCTGCAAGGGCAGGATGGTAGGTTGGAACAGTTTAGAGTCCTGAATTCCTGAGAAAATAGCAGAGAAGAGAAAATGCAAGTAGTCTGATTTGAATTGTTGGGACAAATATGAATGTCTAACTAGGAAGCTTCTCACCTGAAAAGGGGGACAGACAGCCTGATCCACTTGCCAGGAAACAGAACCCATGTTATCAAGGGCAAACAGAAGTTACATTTGCCAAAAGAAAGATGGTTGCTAGAATCAAGATAGAGAAGATCAAGGGAAAACTCTGGGACAGTCTTGTTTGTTTGTTTTAATGTTTTTATTTCTTTATTTATTTATTTATTTATTTATTTATTTATGAGAGAGAGAGCAAGACAAAGCGTGAGCAGGGGAGGGGCAGAGAGAGAGGGGGACCCAGAATCCGAAGCAGGCTCCAGGCTCTGAGCAGTCTGCACAGAACCCGACGAGGGGCTCAAACTCAAAAACCCCAAGATCATGACATGAGCTGAAGTCGGATGCTTAACTGACTGAGCCGCCCAGGCGCCCCTGGGACAGCCTTGAATGGAAAAATATTTCCCCTGGAAAGCTGGTGCCAATCTGAGCTCACTGTTGGGAAAATGCATGCCTTTCTGCACCCTTCATCCCACGTGGACTCAGGAGCCAAGGGGCTGGAGGGTGAGAGAAGGGCAGAGACAAAAATGGGAAGAAGGTGGAGGAATGATTCCAACCAGGGCCAAAGGGCAGATCGTGACCTCTTGCTTTTTAATTCTTCTAGCTGCTGAAAAAAATCCAGCTCTACCCAGAAACGGAATGAGACCCACTATAAAGCTTGTCAGAACATAATTTCTCTTGGGGTAACTGCTGTAAGGCTGAGAATTTACTTATGTTTTCTAAATTGGGAGCATGTGAGGCTGTCCTGTCCTCTGACTTCCCAAGACACATTCTCACAGGAGCACGGGCCCTCCTTTGTAGCCTCTACCAGAGTTAGCATTTTATATGTATTTGTGTAATTCTCTTAGAATGCCTTTGGATGGGGACTTAGGAGGGGTGAAGGGGACAGAGAACATATTACTTTGCTCACTATTGTATCCCTAGTACCTAGTACATGGTAGAGCCTCAATATTTAATGGTTAAACAATTCTTACAGGAACATACAAATTATAGGGGGGTTCTCCTTTAAGAACATTCAGTCATGTAGGGCACCTGGGTGGCTCAGTCAGTTGAGGTTCTGACTTCGGCTCAGGTCACGATCTCACAGTTTGTGGGTTCAGGCCCCGCATCAGGCTCTGTGCTGACAGCTCAGAGCCTGGGGCCTGCTTCGGATTCTGTGTCTTCCTCTCTCACTGCTCCTCCCCTGCTCACATTCTCTCTCTCAAAAATAAACATTAAAAAGAAAAGAAAAAAAAAGATTCAATCGTGAAGATTCAATCATAGATAATAGATAAGTTTTTTTTTAATTTTTTTTTTTTAATGTTTTATTTCTAGGAGAGAGAGAGAGAGAGACAGCATGAGCAGGGGAGGGTCAGAGAGAGAGGGAGTCACAGACTGAAACAGGCTCCAGGCTCTGAGCCGGCAGTCAGCACAGAGCCCGACGCGGGGCTCGAACCCATGAACCGCGAGATCAGGACCTAAGCGAAAGTCGGACGCTTAACCGACTAAGCCACCCAGGCGCCCCAGATAATAGATAAGTTTTTAATTTTTTAAATATTTTGTTGCAATGGAGTCAATAAATGAGTATGTTATGATAACATAAAAAGGTTAAAAAAAATGTTGGAGCAGTGTGGCCACTGTGCAAAACAGTGTGGAGCTTCCTCAAAAAATTAAGAATAGAGATACCATGCAATCCAGTAACTCCACTACTGGGTATTTACCCAAAGAAAATGAAACCACTAAATCAAGAGGTATGCGTACTGCAGCGTTATTTAGAATAGCCACGCTATGGAAGCACCCCGAGTGTCAGTTTTATGAACGGATAAAGAGGACATGGTATATATTCACATATATGGATGAAACGTTAATCACAAAAAAAGAAAATCTTGCCAGGTGTGGTGGCGACGTGAATAGATCTAGAAGGTATAATGCTAAGTAAAATGAGTCAGAGAAAGACAAATACCATATGATGTCACTTTTATGGGGAATCTAAAAAACACAACAAAGCAAACAAAGCAGAAACAGACCCATAAATACAGAGAACTGATGGCTGCCCGAGGGGAGGGGGCAGGGGGGCTGGGCAAAATGGGTGAAGGGAAGAGGGAGGTCCATAGTGCTCCCTGTTGTTGACAGATGATGGCTACACTTTTTTTTTTAATGTTTTATTTATTTCTAGGAGAGAGAGAGAGACAGCGTGAGCAGGGGAGGGTCAGAGAGAGAGGGAGTCACAGACTGAAACAGGCTCCAGGCTCTGAGCTGGCAGTCAGCACAGACCCCGACGCGGGGCTCGAACCCATGAACCGCGAGATCATGACCCAAGCGAAAGTCGAACGCTTAACCGACTAAGACACCCAGGCGCCCCAGATGATGGCTACACTTACAGCGAGCAGAGCGTTAAGCTTTTTAAAACACTATGTTGCAAACCTGACACTAATGTAACATTGTGTGTCAACTATGCCTCATGAAACATAGTAACTCCTAGATGAGCCAGTAAAAACAAATAAATAAGACTGTCTAGAATCACCACTTTTGTTCACATAAAGAAAAACCCTGACACACAGGAAGCTGAATACTCCTATAAGGTGGGGGAAAACGAGCAAAGACGGGAAATAAAAAGAGGAGAGACCTGGAGGTTCAATCCAGGGAGTCCAGCATCTGAGTAACTGGCATTTCCGAAAGAGCAAAGTGGGGGAACAAGGAGGGGACACTGTGAGCAAGAAGCAGCTGCTCGTCTGGTGGATCCAGGAAGGAAGTGTGCTGGCATGGCAGGTGCTCATAGGAAGAATAGAAACCAGGTGGTAGACTCTGTGGGTGATTGGGTGGTCCTGGATGGGGCCAAACCACTTTGGGTGAAGTTAGGACTAAAATCAGATTGGCATCAGACCACTGCTCGGTGACAATGGGTGCCAGGAGATAGGACAGCAATGCCTTCAAAGTCCTAAATGAAAATTCCTTCCTAGAAGTCTATAAAAAAAAAAAGGGCAAACTGCAAATGAACATTTTTGGTAAGAGCTTGGAAAATTCACCTCCCACGCGTCCTTTCTAAGAAAGCTACTTGAGGATATAGTCCAGTAACACGAGGGAGTAAACCAAGGAAGAGGGAGCTATGGACCCACAAAACCATGCCCTGACCCAGGAAAGCAGTGACGCCCGTGACCACACTGTGCGGAAGACCTAGGGAACCGCCAGTCAGACTGGACAGTCTCCAAGATGGGGACACAAGGGGGAAGCGGGTGGGGGGGTGACAAAAGATCAAGCTTAATGGGACAAAGTAAAGACAAAGTCTGGTTTTGAAAAAAAGAAGACAAGGATGAAGAAATTCTTGGAAAATTAAAATTTGTTCTAAAGGCAAAAATTCTAGAATACCACTCAACCCCTCAAGCAAACAGTATTTACACTGGCATAATAACCTACACAATACTGATTTTCAAATTAAAAAAATTTTTCGTAATGTTTATTCTTTTTGAAACAGAATGCAAGCGGGGGAGAGCCAGAGAGAAAGAGGGAGACACAGAATCTGAAGCAGACTCCAGGCTGAGCCGTCAGCACAGAGCCCAACGAGGGGCTCAAACCCACGAAATCGTGACCTGAGCCAAAGTCAGACACTTAACTGACTGAGCCACCCAGGAACCCCAACAATGTACTGATTTTCAACACAAAAATACTAGGTAGGTGAGCATGGGGACCTACTTAATTTTGGATACAGAACAGACTATAAATCTCCAACCCTGGATGATAGAACAAAGGAGGTAAAGGCAGAAGGTCTCCTGAAGGGGAAGTCAGGAGTATTTATACCCTTTTTGCTTATGAATAAAGAGGTCAAGAGATAATGTCTCCAGTTGACAAACCAAAAAATAATGGTGAAAACACATTATGTCAAGTTACCAAAACAATGACGTTGCTGGACTAGGAAGTGAGAGTATTAAATTAGATCCAGTCTATCTGTGTCTGTGACCATAAATCCTGAAGTCAGCAAATTATGTCTGAACTTGATCAGTTTAGTGACATAAAGTCACCCATCAGAAGAAACCATTAAAAGAGCAATAAGGCAGTTGTCTCAAAGGTGAAAAGAGGCAGGACAGGAAATAGCAGCTTTTAATTCTTCTACTTTTAAGGTCATTGGCATGAAAGATCTTGACCAGCATTTCACTTTGCAAAACTTCTTTGACACAAATGCAATGTACATGCCTTTCTCCCGCCCTGAAAGTCCTCTACTGAGAAAAATAAGGCTGCCTCCCTCCCAGACTCATTTCAGGAGCAGGTCTTTCATGTCTCAGGTTCAGAGCTGCCAGATGAAGCAGTGGGGGGAATTAAAAGTTTAAACCTATCTTTCTACGAAGTAATGGAGGAGATGTGTGTTCCAGTGGTTCTGGGGACGTGCTCATGGAGCCCTGACAAACCCTTACCCCCAGAAGCACTGAATCCCACACGGAGACCTGAGCAGCACAAAGCAGGGCTGACCAAGCGCCTCACCTGGCCACTCCGCCATAATCCAAACCTTCCTCTCCCCGGAACTTGACCATCAGTCGCTTTTTCAGATCCTTCGGCCGCATCTTCATGATCTGGCGATAAGACTCCTGCGCAGCAAAGAAGGACAGAGTCAGTGACAAGAATGGGTCACATTCTTACTGTACTATAGAGATTCAAGGTTGTCAGCAATGGAGACTGAATCAGAATAAATAGTCATTTAAATCCAAGTTTGAGCTGATTCCCAGTCAGAATGTTGATCCAATGTCCAGTGTCTGGTATGGGGTGGCCCCTGTCACCTGATCTCCCAGGGTGTCCCTCAGGAATAACAAGGAGCTTGTACCGGGAAACATCGCACCCAAGGGAAATGTGTACCCCATTTTTGGCACAATCACTAAAGACCTACGGACAGACATCCTCACCAGAGTCCGTTTTCTCTAGAAAAATTGATTTTAATGTGGCCATACTAAGAACGACTTCTGGGGGTGCCTGGGTGGCTCAGTCAGTTAAGCATCTGACTTTGGCTTAGGTCATGATCTTGTGGTTTGTGGGTTTGAGCCCTGCGTCAGGCTCTGTGGTGACAACTCGGAGCCTGGAGCCTGCTTTGGATTCTGTGTCTCCCCCTCTCTCTTCCCCTCCCCATTCATGCTCTGTCTCTCATAATAAATAAATGTTAAAAAAAAAAAAAAAAAAAGAACGACTTCTGTATTGTAACTGAAAGGAACATACGTCAGTGGAGAATATGAATATTAAAAGAATTCTGAGCCTGTTTCTTGTATCTGAGGTGAAAAATCACATGATTTCCAGAGTCAATAAAAGCAAAAAAGGATTTAAAGTAAGATCTCGGCGGGGGGGGGGGGGGGGGGAGTGTAGGTTAAGCATCCAACTTTGGCTCGGGTCATGATCTCATAGTTCATGGGTTCGAGCCCTGCATCAGGCTCTGTGCTGATAGCTCAGAGCCTAGAGCCTGCTTCAGATTCTGTGTCTCCCTCTCTCTCTGCCCCTCCCCACTCGCACACTGTCTCTCTGTCTCTCAAATATAAATTAAAATGTTTAAAAAAATTTTTTAATAGATAAAGTAAGACCTACAGGAGCTTACCCAAAATACAGAACAGGCGGCCAGCCTGACCTTCAGCATTTTGAGTAGAACTAGCTAAACGTTTGTAGATTCTTTCAGTGACAAGGCACTTAAGACTCTCCCCATGCTTTCAATTGAATGTAATTCAAGCTTTACCATCCCAAGAGGGAAAGCGGATGCTGAGTGGAAATGACCTAGCAGCAAAATGTCAATTATTCAGCTCTTTTCTCTCCCTGCTCAACCGCCATTCCAGCCACGCCATCCATTCACCCAACCGCTGGCTGTGCACGAGCATCGAGCATGGCCCTGGGTGCTTCCTCAGCACCCGTCACTGTGAAGACAGCACTGGGCTCCCTACAGCCATGGTCCTCACGCTCCGTGGTCAGTTCTCACCCAGTGTCTTTTGATCACTTCTGCCCATGATTCCACAAAGGCAGGCAGGATACGACGGCCCAAATATCACTGAGATTTTACCTTCCAATCGCAAACCTTGAGAAAAGGGCCCTATCTATAAGAGGGTCCTGCCTGTTTAGTGGCCTTGATCCCACAGGGGAGCTGTATGAAAGACAACCCTTTTTTAGGAACGATCTGATCTTCCCATTTCCAGAAAACATAATAAAGTGACCAAATGGCCACGAAGCTTCTCTGAGGAGGCAATGCCATTAGGTGAAACAGCAAGAGCAAAAGGAGTAATTGGTTCTGAAGAAACCATGCAGATTGCAGGAATACACCATCTGCACAGAGCGGGTAAGAGGACTTACAGTATTATTTAGTAATAGTTTCTGTATAAATCTCTATAGTTTCATTTCAGAAGCTCTCTAGCTTTTAAGCTACTACCACAGGAGAATATACAGTGTATCTCTCTATACAGCCATTGGTCCTGATAAACCCTTGCAATTCGCTGGGTAATAAAATCGGTACCTGAAACACCAAACAGAAAGAACTCACTGTCTGTTAACAGGGTTTAACAGTCTCTGCTTCACTGCCGGTCACACCAAATTCCATACCTCAAATATTTCTTCTCTGGACACTTCGATGCGGCAATGACCAGCTTGGGGTTGCTGAAGCGAAAGCTCGTGTCTGAGGACCTTCAGCTTCTGGACTAAATCCCTTTCATATCTCTGGGCTGGAAGCTCCTCGTCTTCCACAGAGCCCTCACTGGGTAATGGCAGCGGCTGGCTGGGCTCCTTTAGTTGGCACTGGTGACTTGAGAAAAATAGAAACATCAAGGTCACTCCAAAAGTAGTGGCCAAGGGAGCCACAAGCAATACCCCTGCTGCTGAGGGACTGAGAAGCGAGTTCATTACACAGAACTCCAAGAAGAGATATTCCCTCTGCTGACATAACCATGTATGAAGATACGTAAACACTGATAGTGGCCACCACGGGCCTAAATACAGAAGTCTAAATATGGCCTCGATCAAGAAGATACCCCTGTTCCAAACAATTGCTTATCCCGTAGCTCATCACTGCTGTAAATAAAATCAGAAATTGCTATCCTTTATCAAGCATCTAGTATGTATCAGAGAGACTGACCAACGCATTATTAGATGCACCTTGGTAGTCAGAATTCAATGAAGCTGGCGTGAAAACTTTCATGAGCAGATTATCATACAGGGAGCAGCATGTACAAGAGCAAACAAGGCAAGTGCAATCTAATGGGAACCATTCCTCATTTTCACGACCAAGAGATTTCTGAGCCTACTCATAAAACTCCAGTAAAATCAAGGACTAGGACTAGTAGAGGGATGAAGTGGCATTTGTCTTGTCCGAGTTCTGCCACTAAGGTCAGCTGTCAATGAGAAAAGCCACATGGTGCTCCTACGTTCTTGAGAACGCAATAAACCCGGACACTGAATGTGGGATCCAAGAGAACTCCCAGTTCCGAGTTGTCCAGGAAGGACGGGCACAGGAAAAGGCTCCAGCAAGTAGCATTATGGACTGTGGCAGCCCATCCAGATGGTGACAAGCAGACACTAAGGAAGAGCCTCGTTTCACTGGCCCTCGCACCAAGGGCCAACACTCCCTCAGCTGCGTGAGGAAGCTTCGAGGGTGGAGCTATACTGCCTAACGTTGCCATCTCAGTGACTTTCATTTAGGCTGCAAGCAAGAAAAAATGGTAACAATACAGTTTCAGAACTGCTCACAACTGGGGCACCTGAGTGGCTCAGTTGGTTGAGCATCTGACTTTGGCTCAGGTCCTGATCTCATGGTTCGTGAGTTCAAGCCCTATGGCAGGTTCTGGGCTGACAGCTCAGAGCCTGCAGCCTGCATCAGATTCTGTGTCTCCCTCTCTCTCCCCCGCCCCAAACTGTGCTCGCTCGTTCTCTTTCTCTCTCAAAAATAAACATTAAGAAAAATTAAACAAAAAACAACTGCTCACAGCTGACCACCAGACATTTACCGTATTTTGCTTACACCTAACCTCCACTAACAAACAGCGCAGTCAATAAATTAAGAGAAATATTAGTAGAAAACAATCAATTACAGATGTAAGAAGTCAACCAAGATTCTGTAAAAGTCTTACTTCATGATGTGATGTAACCTTGGGTCTGTAAACTGGGTTGTTCGGTTATTATGATCTACAAAATATATTCTCCCAGAGACTGTACTTCTGACTTCCCAGCCTGGTGGCAGCGGTCCGAGCTCATCACAGTTCACGCTGTTAAGGTCTCTGCCGAAACGGAAGAGAATAGACAGGTTGTCCATCTGAGCGTGGAGGCATGAGACCAAAATGTCAGCGAGAGGAACCACAGGAGGCCCTGATCAACGCGGCCATGTCCCATTCTGCCAAGAGGGACAGTCACGGTGCGACTTACGCCAAACTCCCACTGAGTCCAGGTCTCCAGGCTGCAAGTGGCAGCGAAACCCGACAGATAAAAATGGAGCTTTAGGAGCCTGTGACCCTGATGGGGAACATGGTTCATTGTCCACCCGGGGAGCAGCGTTGCTTACTGGAAAGAAGGCCAAGTAACAGGAGGTAGCTGATTGTTGTGAGAAAACCATGTGATTTACAAGTTAAATTAAATGCTCAAGGTCACAAAGGTGGCTTCACTGAAAGGCTCCCAGAAGCACAAGCTCAAGGGGATATACTGACACGCCTTCAAAATCTCACAGTTCATAACAGAGGCACCGGCAAGCGGCACTCTTGGGCTTTCCCTGGCTTTCATACATGCCTGTCTCTGATTCTAAACTCTCAGTGAATGATTTCAGTACAATCTGGCCACATGGGAACACAACATTACTGGCCAAATCGCTTGTCTAATTAGCACAAAGCCTGACGTTTCTTACGGCGGGTACTAGAGACACCTCATTCATTTGCAGGTAATATTTCCATTCTCATTATAGACACTGAATCTTGGAAAGTCAGTGACAGGAAGCTCATTCTCAGATGAAACAAATGATGAATAGAAAGGACATGAGCATTACTAGAAATGTTATTAGGTAGTAATGCTGTTCTGAAACAGAACAAAACAAAATTTGGAAAGGAAAGCAAAACGAAGAAAAAAAAAAGAAACTTAACTCCATTATAGGGTGGGGAGGGGGCGGGGGTCTCTCTGACCTGGGCTCAGATGTATGGCCTTGTAGAAGGAATTCGTATAGAAAAGCTTCATCTCCCCCAGGAATGGTCCCCAAGGGACTGAGGCAAGAGGGACAGTAAAGTAGAAGAGAGAAAGGGTAATAGAGTTTTTATATTTCCTTTGTTAACTTTTTAATTATGGAAAATTTTAAGCATACAAAAAAGTAGAGAGAGACCACTAGCAAATAAGCAACGTTGACAATTATCACCTCATTGTCCCCCGACTGCAGACCTAATCCTCCCTTCACTCCCCCGCCCCAGTTATTTGAAGCAAATCCCAGACATGCTATCATTTTGTCCATTGATATTTTTAGTGTAAAATGGGAACAGCACACCTTGAAGGGCTTATTGGCTTTTCAAGTGAGGGCACGTTTGATTTCATCCAGGGAGAGGGTCTTTTTCAGTGGCATGATCTGATTTCAGGCTGGCTTTCTAAAGAACCCACGGAGGTGGGGGGGTACAGCAGCTGCCCATTGACCTCGTGGAGTCTGAAGGGGGCAGCAGAGAGCCTGAGTCCAACACCCTGGGGCTCCTTCTTCAAGCCCAAGGGGTCTCCCTATCATCGAGGGCAGGGGTGGGGGAAGAAGTGCTGATGGAAGGGCGCTGACTGTGCACATCGTAGAAAACGTACCTTGGTATCCTGGGGTCGTGCCACGTGCTCACTCCAGTCTGTGTGTGCAAAAAGTAAACTTGCCCCTGCACTGTTGTCCTTTGTTCTGCACAAGAAATCGGAGGGTGCAGTTAGTTCAACTCCATTCCAAGGAGAGTTTTCAACGAATCCTCGTAAGCACAGAGTCTAAGCTTCATTTCCAAATTCTTTAAAATCATGGAGGAAAGGGCAGTGGGTAGCTTCCTCCTGACCTCCTCACTTGACAAATACCTGGGCGGCTCTCACTTCTTCCTGCTCACACCTGTGGAGGTGGTGATCTCCTTACTCGGCCACACCCCAGGAGTCCCTGGATGGGTATCCAGCTTGGTACTGACCTCACCTTGACCCTTGTCACATCCATCCGCTCTCACTTGTGCTATTCTCTTCACATCTAAATTATATTCCTCCCTCACTGGGTTCTCCTCTCTGCGGTGATGATGATCCCTTCCTTCTTTCCCTTGTACCCGACACCGAGCTTCCCACATTCAAGTCACAGAATGCTCCATCCACCCTCATCCAGCCCACACATATCATCTTGGATTTTTCTTGGTATTCATTTGCCTAAAATTTTCACACGATTGCTAAACTGGGAGATTGGAGCAATTGCTGACAAATTCATGATGCACAAGATTTATCACCACCTTTTTTACTTGGCTTTATTCTGACACGACCGTCGCATGGCCCCACTCTGCAAACGTCCACAGTTATGGCACGTACGGCATGTACGAGTTACTAAAAAAGGCTTAAGAAATGCGACCCTGCCGCTCACACTCGGGGGTGGCTGGGTGGGTTCTCTCACCATAGCCTTCGGGCAGTTCTGGTGACTGGTGGCCGTGGGGACGATTCTGAGGCGTCTGTAGTGACCCCCGGACCTCCGGATTTCGAAGTCGCTGCGCCTGGAGCCTTTGATCTTGACTCGGGGACTCCACAAACCTGCAGTCCCCTCCCCCCGCCGCAGCACCAGTACTGTCTGTGTAAGGGGCTGGCTCCTCCATGAAGCAGCTGAGCGGCCTTCCAGGTCCTGAGTCTTCATACACGGTTCTAGAAAGGAGAGCGGCACAGCATGCATGGAACACTGGCCTGATGCAAGGGCCAAAACCCACACCTGTTTACTGTGCTTCTCTTGAACACCCAAGTGCCCAGTTGTATGAGATTCCTTCTGTCCCATCTAAACTGAAGGGTAGACTTTTTCGTGAGGAACAAGCAGCCGGAGGGAACCATGCATAAAGTGCCACAGAGGCCACATGGGCATTTCATCCTCAGGGAGAGCTGAATGATCCCAAAACCCAACCTTGCCCTGTAAGGAGCTCGTGAAATGATTTTTCATTTTTTGTGCTTTAAAAGCAATTCCACACGGGTGCCAAGCGACTCAGCTGGTTAAGCGTCCAATTTCACCTCAGGTCACGATCTCACAGTTTGTGAGTTCGAGCCCCATGCCGGGCTCTGTGCTGATAGCTCAGAGCCTGGAGCCTGCTTCAGATTCTGTCTCCCTCTCTCTGCCCCTCCCCCATTTGCCATGTCTCTGTCTCTTTCTCCCAAAAAGAAACATTTAAAAATATATATATACATATATATATAATCAAATCCATACTCCACTTTCCTTGTTACTCTATAGTAGAACTTCTGGTTACATATATACTGCAGTGACTTTAAGTGTTCTCTAACATAAATCTTTACCTCCTAAACTTTTCTGAAGACAATTCACCTTAAAGGCTATTTTCTGAAGACAATTCAACCTAAAGCCTATTTTCCCTCATTAGCATTTTTTTTTAAAAAAACATTGTAGATTGAAAACTTTCAAATATATACACAAACTGGGGGACTATCTCAGCGCCCCTCCCCCAGCTCGTCACCCAGCTACAACAATGGGCATCTCACAGCTACTCCTCCAATCTCTCCCCTCCACCGGGTTATTCTGAAACCAATCCCCAAGTGTTTCCATTTCATCCTCAAATCTTTCAGCATATATCTCGAGAAGACAAGGACTTCTTCCATAATCGCAACTAAAAAAAAGTACACTAACCTTTTAAATATCACCAAATACTAGTGTCCAAATTTCCCCAGTCAATGGTCTCATTACTCAGGAGTAACAAGGTCCCCAACATGCATTTAGTAGGTATGTCTCTTAACTCTCTTTTATTATCAATTTGTAGATTCTCTTCCTCTTTATTTATTTGACTCCCAACGTAGTAATTGTTGAAGAGTTGTCTTCTACACTTTCCAGAGCGCCCCCTTCTGGATGCTGCTTAGCGCCCAGCAGCATACTGCTCCGTCCTCTTTCCAAGAGGTGTGTTAACGTCAGATTAACTCTCTTTTGTCCTGTTTTAGCAACTATTAATGGTTACTGCCCAGTACCATTAAGGCACTGGGGATCACAAAACTGATAGAGACCAATCAGCTTTTAAGGGTGTGTGTGTGTGTGTGTGTGTGTGTGTGTGTGTGTGTGTGTGTGTCTTAGGATTTTTCCACTGAGTGACATTATAAACTCAAGAATTTTAATGTCTTTGATATGTTTCAATCCATTACAGTTATAATTCTTTTTTAAAATTTTTAATGTTTATTTAGAGACAGAGAGAGACAGATGCAGCAAGTGGGGGAGGAGCAGAGGGACAGGGAGAGGGAGAATCCCAAGTAGGCTCCGCACCGTCAGCACAGAGCCCAACACAGGGTTCAATCTCACAGAACCTGATCATGACCTAACTCGAAAATCAAGGGTCAGATGCTTAACCGGCTGAGGCACCCCGGACTCCCCTATGGTTATAATTCTTACTGATGCTCAAACTCCCATCTTTGGCCAGTACAAACCTCTTTAAATTGGATCCTGAGTCTTATGGGCACAACTCCACTAATCTTTATAGCTTCCTTTATAAACAAGGAAACTGGACCCCCCCCAGTTTTATCCCAAGAAGTCCCTTCCTGCATCTCAAACATTCAGCACAAAGGTGTGAAGGCTACTTTTACAGGGAGCGAGAGCCCAAGGCAGCAGAGAAGTCAGCAGGCATCACCATGGGGATACGTACCCTTCATTCTCTAACAGTCCTCTGCAGTCTACCACAGACCCTCCAGTGCCTATTCTGTCCCGTGTCTGTAAACTGACTAAAACAGAAAAGAACGTCTTGCGTTAAAATCCAGTGGCATTCCATACAATTGTAATACAGTGAGCCATTGCGAATGTGTAGCTTACATACGATATTATTATACAAAGCGAGGCACATGTATATACGTAAACACATCTAGTCCTGTGCTTTCATGTCTGAAGCGTTTACTCCATTAGCTGTACACCACTGCATGCTGCTTGGAACATTCCTTGTGAATGTGGAGAAGGAGGTGCTGCATTTTCACGCTCTCCATAAAAATAACAAATTCCCGGTATTCACTTCCTCTAAGTTACCTCATTTTTTAAGAAGCTCTTGACTCGTGTTTAATAAGGACACAGAAAGCACTTGCGGTATCTGCAAAGTCTAGATGAATTTAAGTATTTATTCTCTATGCCTACTGTGAACAACAAAGACGATTACAGAGTTGCTTCTAGTTCCTCGTTTTGTCCCTGGCACATCCCTCCACAGAGAAAAAGAAGTGGCAAACAGGAAAGCATTAAGTGAGAACTTTCTCATTATGATAGTTTTCAGGACGCATATCCACTGTTGATTTATTTCGGGTCAAATCTACTGAAGACAATACCTAAAAGATTTGGGGTCATGACTCACTCTGGTATGCTGCTAAAATACTAGGTTTTCTCTGATTCCTTGCAATGCACACAGGCAACATTTGAATTACCCTTAAATGCTGATAAAATGGAGTGGATGACAAAACAAGCTGCTTAGCAGATAAATCCCTTCCAACGGAATACCTCCAGTCAACACTTGTAACACTAGCACATTTGATTCTTTTTATCCTAAAGAATTCAGTCCTGACTCTATAAAATCCTATCACATGGAAGTCTTCAGATGTCGTCTTTGCCTTTTATGCATAGTACAGGTCTTCCTGAAGAAACTATTTCTCAACTCTGGTATACGTGGCCACCATTCTTGTCACGTACACTTGGTTAAGACCATGACACATTAATTGTCCATTAGTGTGGTGATTAAAATTATATTTTAAATTATAACCCGACATCTTTTTGTAGCCTCGTCATTTTAACTCAACTTGGAATGAGAGGATGAAGAGAATTCGATAAAATAATAAAACCACACAAGATGAAAGTTTTTAGCGCTGAAAAGATGGCCCCGGATGCGGCTGGTCCTTTGAAAATATGGCACCACGGTCAGTGCCCCAGTGCGCTTTCTCGGTGATGGAGAGCTGAATGTTAAATTTTGAAAAAGATCTCTTTATACAGATGAGAAAGTTCTTACCCACTATTTGGCCACGAACTGCATCAGTATCTGAGGGAGTTAGTTTGCATAGATCCAAACGCTGGTCTGCAAACAAATAATTCAGAACTTAACCCAGGGAAATGTTAACTAGGGAGGAGGGCAGGAATTCTGTACTTGGTATTCAAAAGTAAAACAAAAACAAAAACAAAAAAACGAAAAGATGTCTCATAACCCTTCTTCAGTTGTACTGAGAGGCAGAAAAGCATTTTGGTTCTTACATCCAGTATCTTTTAATCTGCTGATGGCATTGGAAAGCAGCCGCACGCAGCCCAGGAAGCCAGCCCCCTGCTTCTTGTGAATCTTCTTGTGGTTCCACACGCTGATGGTTATGGAATCCGTTTTCCCAACATATCTGAAAACACACAAACTCCTTCTCAACTGCCTTTCTGAATTATGAGAGCCTGCTGAGATTGCATCTGCTTGACTTCTTAGTACAAAAGAATCCTTTTAAAATGATGTTGGCTCTATTCCCCACACATAACAGGTGCTCAATAAATACACATCTGCTAACTTCAACGGGCTGCGGAAAGGCCGAAAGCGAGTTATGCAAGGAGCAAATGTACATAACTACGTCATCTTATAACAGAGACTCGCTATACTTTCATAGTTCCAAAGGACGATGACATGATTCATAAATTCTCACCAATTAGGCTTCATGTAGAATACCAGTTTGCAACACGGGCCTACTTATAAACCCACAGATGCACCCAAAGCACATTAATACCCCCACCTACTCTCCATGCAAATCAACCAAGGAGGGCAGTTTTTGGGAAAAGGAGCAACACCATTTCCCAAGCCACTTAGGACTCCTGAGTGTAACTAAAAGTGAGTCTTGGAATCCAGTTACAAAATTTTGTATTAATATAAAACCAATAATCACTCAGAGTTCCTTTGATGAACATTTCTTAGAAGGGACATGAAAACAGGTGTGTCTAAAATCATGGTTTTCAAAGTGTGGTCTGTCTTAGGAATGAATGTCATATCCATTCAATCATACCACGCTGTATTTTCTACAACAAACTCTATTTTTTCTTGTAGAAAACAGAGATCTTACTAAAAAGAAAATGTTTACATCAATAGAGATATATACAATATGTTTTTGCATAATAAATATGTAAAATAATGATTCATTTTTAAAAATATTTTATTTTTAAGTAATCTCTACACCCAAAATGTGGCTCGAATTCACAACCCTGAGATCAGGAGTTCCATGCTCCACCAACTGAGCCAGCGAGGTGCCCCAATAATAGTGCATTTTTAAAGTAAAACTCTATAACCAGCTTTAGAGGTTCACTGGAAGAAAGAAAAAACAAAACAGGATTAAAGGACCTGAACCCACAGCCCTTTTTCTCTCCTGTCAGCATGGCCAAGAGATGGCAAAGTTTGAAAACTACGGAAGCAAACCATAAAACTCTATGAACATGTGAAATGCAAGACATTCCAAGTATACAGATCCTAAAATTAGGCACTATGTATTCATTTGGTTATCAATGAGAAGTTAGTAATCATTTTTATTTTTATTTTATTATTAAATGCTTCTCTTAAAAGCTAGATTTCCTGCGCCCCCCTAATAGCTTACAGAATATTCAACTCACAGATCATAGTGCTGGTTCCATTTTGGGTCCAATGTGTTTTTCACAGTGTCCGTTGAGTGGCACTGCCCAGATCCGTCCACCACAATCTTTGCAAAGGGGTCAGGGAGTCCTAAAGGAGAGGGGACAGCCACACTGGAATGAGACTACACATCCATCCATGTGACACAGAACACAGTCTTACAGGCTACAGAGTGCTTTGAGATCATCTACTTTGGTGAAGAACATTACCCTAGTGGCACTCTGTTCTCTAATTGAGGGTTAGTTTGATTAGGGAAATAAGTTATTTCTATTTAGTTTTCTAAGAAAGGCATCCCAGTCTGACATCACTCTGAGATTTTTAGAGGCTAGGAAACTACAAAAAAAATCAGCTTAAATTCAGAATTTCACCTCTGATGATCACCAAGTGGGCTAATTAAATGGAAGAAAAGGGGTCTATAATTCATTATATTTATATTTATGCTTCCTAAAAAAACAATACCGAGAAATCTTGTTTACTGGTCTTTGTCTATTTTATCTACCAATGCAAGGATTCACCAAGTCTTAATTAGGTTGGTTTCTAAATGCTGATGTATGAATCACACAGATTTATAGGATCAGAGAGGTGGCAATTTATGGGTTTTAGAGACACCTCTGATGGGGACCACTACTGCAGAGGTTCCTCGCTCTTTGAGTAAATAAAAAATAAAGCCTGTGAGCCTAAGTTTCTTCCCCTTTAAAGTGCGAACACCACCACTTAAGAAGTCAGTGGCGTCCTTGTAAGGATCAGAAAGGGTGAAGAATCTCATGCTGCAGGCACCTACTTGATAGCAGGCAAATTTCTGCAGTTAAGGGTGATTTCTTCCTTTGGAAAAAGATCCTCTCTTTGTTTTTTACACTTCCTTTAAATATGAGGCTTTTAAAATGTGATTTCATTTCTAAAATTTGACTAACAATTTGACTCAAACCCAGCTCTTTTACAGAAAAATGTCTCATGTGTATTTGAGCGGAGAACACTTCATCCAGCAGAAAGCAACAGATTCAGGGCTGGGAAGACAGAGAAGACAGGGTGCGGCCGGAACAGGGAATGAAACAGACAGTTTTTCTTGCGTGAGTTATAAACGCTATGCCTGGAACGTGAAGCCTCCACATTGTTGTCAACTTGGAAATGAAGTCTGTCAAACCATGGGTCCATTCAGTAAAAGGCAGAACTCTTAGGGGAATATGTAAGTTCAAATTGCAAAAATATGTGAAGAATATTAATACTGTAAGAGAGCAAAAGCGGGTGTGTACTTACTGAAGAAGTCTTTCTTTGCAAGGTTCTTGGCACATAACACTGAAAACAAACAGAAATGCTAGGGTTAGCATTTATGGAGAAGATTTTCATCGCAGCCAGTTGCTATGGACTGGATTGTGTTAGACCCGCCCCTTGGCCCTCAATTCATGTGTTGAAGCCCTAACCCCGATGTGATGACATTTGGAAGGGGCCTTTATAGGAGGTGCTTACATTTAGATGGGGTCATCAGGGTGGGGTCCTCATGGTGGGATTAGTGCCCTTATAAGAAGAGACTATAGAAGTTGCTCTTGGTCAGTTCCCCATGTGAGGGTGCAGCAAGATGGCTGTCTATACGCCAGAAGTGGGCCCTCACCAAGAACCAAATCTGCCAGCTCCTTGATCTTGGGCTTTTCCAGCCTCCAGAATGGTGAGAAATAAAAGTTAAGTCATCTAGTCTATGGTATATTGTTATGTCGGCACAAACAATTGAGACGTTAAGTCTATATTTGCAACAAATTTTTTCTAAAAATTATCTTTGCCAATGATGTTTTTCAAGTTTAGTAGCACATTACACTTACACACACACACACACACACACACCCTAAAAAAAAAAAAAAAAAAACCTGACAAGCAACTAAAAAGTATTTTCTCCTCAAAATGGGAATCAGCTATAACAAATACAAAATGTTTTTTTACTTTTTCTTTCCTTTGTTTATTTTGAGAGAGAGAGCAGATGAGGGGCAGAGAGAGGGAGACAGAATCTGAAGCAGGCTCCAGGCTCCAAGCTGTCAGCACAGAGCCCAACATGGGGCTCAAACTCATGAGCCATGAGATCATGACCTGAGCCGGAGTCGGCCACTTAACTGACTGACATGATTAAAACTACCATATCAAGGGAAAATAAACCAATGTCACATTTAGAGCACTTCACAAATTTTGCCAGTTTTCAAGAATATGGTTTTTTTTTTTACATTTTTAATGTTTATTTACTTTTGAGAGAGAGAGAGAGAGAGAGAGAGAGAGACAAAGCCCAAGTGGCGTAGGGGCAGAGAGAGAGAGGGAGACACAGAATCCAAAGCAGGCTCCAGGCTCCAAACTGTTAGCACAGAGCCTGATGTGGGGCTCCTACTCACAAACTGTGAGATCATGACCTGAGCTGAAGTCAGACACTTAACCAACTGAGCCACCCAGGCACCCCAGGAATATAGTGTTTTATTATAAACATTTTAATAAAATATATTCATGATATATTGCTCTGAAAACTTTTAGTATATTTTTTGTATAACAGTATTATCAGATATAACTAATACAGTATACAGTTCATCTGTTTAAAGTGTGTGATTCAGTGGTTTTTAGTATATTCAAAGGGCCATAGGGTTGTACAACCATCACCATCAATTTTACTTTATTTTTTTTAAGTTTATTTATTTTGGGAGAGAGAGAGAGCACAAGAGTGACAGTGAGCAGGGGAGGGATGGAGGGAGAGGGAGAGAATCGCAAGCAGGCTCCATGCTGTCAGTGCAGAGCCCGAAGCGGGGCTCGATCTCACGAACCGTGAGATCGTGAGCTGAGCCGAAATGAAGAGTCAGATACTTAACCGAGCCACCCAGGCTCCCCATCACCATCAATTTTAGAACATTTTCATCATCCCTCCAAAAGGAGATCCCACACTCATTAGCAATTACTCATTTGACCTCAACTCCCTCTACCCCACTTCTAGGCAACCACTTATCTACTTTATGTCTCTGTGGTCGTGCCTATCCTGGTCAGTTCATAGAAACAGAACACAGTATGTGGTATTTCGTGACTGGCTTTGTCCACGAAGCAGGTTTTTAACATTCACCCGTGTTGTAGCATGAATCAGTGATACTCCATTGTACAGACATTTCCTTTATCCATTTATCAGCTGATAGACATTTGGGTCGTTTCCAATTCAGGGCCACTATGAATAATGCCATAAAAGTTGTTGTGAAGACATAGAGTTTTATTTCTCTTGTTGGGAACCTATGAGTCGTTACATTGCACATTTCGAGGACGTGCCAGACTGTTTTCCACAGCATCTGCACTATTTCATCTTCCCACTAGCGGTGTCTGAGGGCTCCGGTTTCGCCACGCCCTCTCTAATACTTATTGTCTGTCTCTGTGGCTTTTCATCTCTGTGCTTTTCATTTGCATTTCTCTGATGACTAATGACTTTGAACATCTTTTCATGTGCTTACTGGCTACTGGTATATCTTCTCTGGAGAAATTTCTATTTAAAAATGTTTTTGCCCATTCTTTAATTGGGTTATTTGCCCTTTTATGGAAGAATTCTTCATTCTAAATATGTAGATATCTACAGACAAGGTATCCTTATCAGATATAGGATTTGCAAATATTGCCTCATTCTGCGGGCTTTCATTTTCTTGGTGGTGTTCTTTGAAGCAACAAAGTTTTCAATTTTCAGAAAGTCCAACGTATCTATTTTCATTGGTTGCTTGTGCTTTTGGGGTCATGTTTAAGAAGGCCTTGCCTTAAAATGTTTTATTAGTTTATTTATTTTGAGAGAGACAGAGACAGCACAAGTGGGGTAGGGACAGAAAGAGAGAATCCCAAGGAGGTTCTGTGCTGCCAGCACAAGGCCTGACTTGGGGCTCGAACTCACGAAACCACAAGATCATGACCTGAGCCGAAACCAAGAGTTGGACGCTTAACTGACTGAGCCACCCAGGCGCCCCTTTACACTTTCAATTCTTTTCTTTTTTTTTTAAATGTTTATTTATTTTTGAGAGAGACAGAGTATGAACGGGGGAGGGGCATAGAGAGAGAAGCAGGCTCCAGGCTCCAAGCTGTCAGCACAGAGCCCGATGTGGGGCTTGAACCCACAAACCCCGAGATCACGACCCAAGCCAAAGTCGGAAGCTTAACCAACTGAGCCACCCAGGCGCCCCTACACTTTCAATTCTTAACTAGACATTTGGCCTATGATCTATTTTGGGTTCATTTTTGTGGATTGTGAAGAAGAGGTCCAACTTCATTCCCTGGCAGGCGGCTATCCAGTTATACGAGTGCCATTGGTTGAGAAGAAGAATATTCTTTCCCCACTGACATGTCTGGGCGCTTGCTGAAAATTAACTCCCCGTCAATGTGAGAGCTGATCTGTGGTCCTTTGATTCTAGTCCATTGATCTACATGTCTCTCCTCATACCATGACCACACTGTCTTGATTACTGTCTTAGTCTTTCAGGCTATATAGCAAAACACTACAGATTAGGGAGCTTATAAAAAACAAACATTTACTTCTCACGGTTCTGAAAGTCTGAGATCAGGCTGACAGCATGGTTTGGTGAGGGTTCTCTTCCAGGATGCAGACTTCTTGTATATCCTCGGCAGAAGGGGCAATGGATCTCTCTGGAATCTCTATTATAAGGCAGTAATCCTATTCTTTGAGTTTCCACCCCCATGATTTAAGTACCTCCCAAAGGCTCCACCTGCTAACACTGTCACCTTTGGCAGGTAGGGGAACACAAACATTCAGACTCAAAAACTACCACCGCTTTATAGTAAGTTTTGAAATTAGGAAACATGAGTCTTCCAATTTCATTCTTTTTCAAGATTGTTCGGGCTACTCTGGATCGCCTAAATTGTCATGAATTTTAGGATCATACCATCTGCAGATACAGCTTTACTTCTTCCTTTCCAATATGAATGCCTTTTCTTTATTTTTCATGCCTAACTGCCCAGTACTTCCAATACAATACTGAAGAGAAAGGGTGGACATCCTTTTTCTTGGTCCTTACCATAAGGGGAAAGCATTTCAGACTTCCAACCATTGAATACGATGTTAGCTGTGGGGTCTTCGTAGATGCCCATACTTAGTTGGGGAAATTTCCCTCTGTTCCTAGTTTGTTGAGTGTTTTTATCATGAAGCACTGTCAGCTTTTGTCAAATACTTTTTCTGCATCTACTAAAGATGATCATTTAGTGTTTGTCCTGTATCTGTAGCTATGAGGTAGTACATTAATTGATTTTTCAGATGGTATGCCAACCCTGCATTCTGACATAAATTCCACTTGGTTATGGTGCGTCATCCATTTTCATGTGCTGCTGTATTCAGTTTGCTAGGAATTTAGCAACATTTTTTGGTCTTATATTCATAATATATATTGGTCTACAGATTTCCTTTCCTTTCCTTTTTTGTATCAGGGTGAGAGGTGACCTCTTTTGTTCTTTCTCTTTAAGTTGGTGAAGAATTAGCATTCATTTTTCTTTCTTTTTTAAAAGAACATCCTTTTTAATGTTTATTTTTAAGAGAGTGCATGTGCTTGCACAAATGGGGGAGGGGCAGAGAGAGAGGAGGATAGAAGATCTGAAGCAGGCTCTGGACTGACAGCAGAGAGCCCAACGTGGGACTAGAACCCGTGAACCACGAGATTATGACATGAGCCGAAGTCAGATGCCCAACCAGTAGAGCCAGCCAGATGCCCTGGTATTCATATTTAGTAGAATTTGCCAGTAAGCCATCTAAGCCTGGCTTTTCCTTATAGAAAAATGTTTTCAATTACTTATCCAGTCTCTTTACTTTTTATGTATCTATTCAGATTTTTCATTTCTTCTTAAATCAGCTTTGGTAGTTTGTGTCTTTCTAGAAATTTGTCAGTTTCACACAGGTTATCAGTTTGTTGGCATACAGTTGTTTACAGCATTCCCTAATAATCCTTCATTTTATTTCTATATAGTCAGTAGTAATATTTTTTCAATACTATCTTTATGCCCTTCCTTCCCAATGGAAATACACACACACACACACACTTTCTCTCTTTTTAGCCTTTTCTGTGGATAGATCATAATTCATTATAGCTCCTGCTGCTGTTTTGTTTCTGTAATTACAAAAATAATACTTGTAAAACTTTGAAATGTGAGTAGAAAATGCATGTCCCTGAAATCTCATCATTATTCTTTGCTTAGGATTCTCCTGGCTAGTTACACATGCTTATCATTCCCATTACTTTTAGGATCATTTTGAGCAAGTTCAAAAAAAATAAATTACTTCATGAATAAATTTGAGGGGAATCTATCTC